CTACAAATTTGTAAAAATTATTTAAAAAAATTTTTATTAAATTTGGTTAAGTTTTTATCAAGTTATTCTTGTTTAAATTTATAAAAAAATTTTATTATAAAAAATTTGCTTGATTTCTATTGACTTACCTCTATATATTTATGTAATGTACCGGTATTTATTAAATTGACCAATCAAAATTTTCAAAAAATGTTTATCAATGCAAATCACTTGTTAACCAATAAAATCAAACTTGACCTATGCTTAAATCCAGATAGAGATATTAACTCTATTCTGAAACAAACTAAAAATTTGCTTGTTTTTTAAAATTTCTGCAAGTTTTATTCTAACTCTTTAGAAATTATGTTATTGTTTTTAGAACTCAGTTTGGAGATAGTGATGTAATTTTCTGAGAAGTAAGGTGACCTTTAGGATAAAACTATAGTTGGTAGTAGAATTAATTTTACAAATTAATGTAATTATGACACATTCTGTATTTTTTGCTATAATTGCTATGAGCTATAAAGCCACAATGCTGTAATGCTGCAATATCACAATGCCAAAATGCCATAAAGCTATAAAGCTGTAATACCATAATGCAGAAATACTATAATGCCATTTGTTGAAATGCTGTACTGCAATATATACTTTTCTTTAATTAATATATTGTTAATTATTTTTCGAATTCAATTTTGTCAACTCTGACTCCATTTGATTTAGCACTGTATGACTATGAAAAATGGGTTATCAGTCTAGATTTTATATAACTTAAAAGATTATCATAATTTATTTTTATTGTTAAGTAGGCTATTCTATAAGTCATTGTTTGAAAACATCTTTAGCAAGCTAATTGATCAGATATGATATCATTTTCAGATTTATAATAACAGTATATTAGTGATAGACACCACTAATATATTGTATAATTCGAACAGTGTCATAAATCAGGTCAGGTTCTGAAATATTTTGAGGTCAAGGTAAAAGTCTAACCATTTCCATAAGATTTCAAAAAATGAAAAAAATCTATTACATGCAGGATTTTTGGAAAACCTGTTGACTGCCTATCACCACAGTATATATAAATTAACTTATATAAATATGGTATAAATAGTTAACTCTTACAAGTTTTGATTTTTAATTGGTAATGACAAATATGAGCAGATAAACAGTTATGAAACATGTTGATAACTTATGAAGCTTTCTATTTTTCATTTAAGGTATAATTATTAGATGGTTCATATGCTCTTATATAATTAAACTCATTACCATCAGCATTTGCAATCATTAAACAAATTCAGAGAAAATAAAAGGTCAAACTCTTCTTTTAACATATCTAGTTCATTAAATGGAATCCATTATCATATGTGAAGGCTCTAAGTTGAAATGCTTTCATGCAATCATTAGTATCCTTATTGCCATCTCCATTGCTCCACATTATAGACATCTTACTTCATCTTGTCATATTCATTATAATGTGCACACTTCCATATTTAAGTTCCCTTTATAAACATAACAGACATCAACATATTCATCAATTTCTGGATTAGGGTGATTGTGGCAGATAATATTTATGGCAATAAGATCCATTGGTAAACTAACTACAGCCAACTCTTTCTATAACAAACTGTTAGTTCTGGATATAAAAATAAGTTCGCTATATAAAATTATTATGTTTTCTTAAGAAGCCTTAACTCTTTTTATTCCAAACTAATCCGAAATTCAAAAACTTTTAGTTCATTATATCCAGAATTCAGTATAGAAAGGTTCGTTATAAAGAGAGTTGAATGTATATAGCGGAATGATCTGGTATTGTAAAATAATTTTTTTATATGTTGCACACCGGGTGAAGGTCAGTCGTGTAACATCGACGGACGGTCTCTCCTGTTCCACCATGAAAATAAGATTGTTTCGTCAGGCATTACAATATTTGTTATTGCGGCAGTACGACATTACGGCATTACGACATTACGGCAATTTTTATGGCAATTAGATGCTATGCCGTAATTAATTCTACCACTGGTAAAATGCCGTAATTGCCGTAAATCAGTAATTCTACCACCAACTATAGACGAAACCAATGAAATTTCAAAATTTTTAGTTTGTATAGAATTTATAAGTAATCAGTAAAAAAAAAAAAAATCAACCAAAAAATAACAAGCGTTATTTGAAATTTGTTTTCCAACCAATTAGAAACGTGGAATAATGATATTATTTTTATGATGCTTTTTTTGGCAAGACAGAAATGTGGGACAGGTTAGACTGATTGATTAAACGTCCATATATGCTAAGAGTAGAATTTTTCTTTGTCGATAGCCTGTTACACATTCTGACATGCCTTTTTTGGAACCATAACTAATCGTACGTATCGATATCGAGTTTAAAAATTAATAAAATGCAATGGGTTATTTCTTTTCATCTTTATGAGCTAAAATTTTTCCTAATGAATCATTATTCACATATTAAAAATAATAAAAAAATATTTTATACACCAATCAAGGATCTAAATGAATTTGAAAACCTTGCATTTTACGATCATCAGCTTTATGTTCATGCGTTTAATGGCAGTATAGGCGCTCCAGTTCATGAAAAACTGCGAACTGGTGCTAAAGTATTAGAATTTGGGTAAAAAAATTTCTTTTTTTTATTAATTTCTGTAAATTTCCAATAGCTTATTTGTATCATTCTCAAAAAAGTTGTGGGACAGGCATTTGGACTATTGAAGTAATTTAACTATTTCCATTTATGAAGATGGTAACTTTGGGCAGTACTATAGTAACTAATTTTACTTTAAATTAGGTTGCCGCCGAGTATCCAATTCGAAGTTCTACGCAGTTGATTTTACCACGAAAAATTCTATTGAAATTATTACATTTATTGATTATGATATTAATCAAAAACTACCATTTCCTGATAATGAATTTGATTATATTTTTTCTAGAAATAAAACAAATTTTTTTACAAAGGATAATTTTCAAGGATTTTTATTTGAGACCCTTAGAGTATTAAAACCAGGTGGTTGGTTAGAAGTAAAGGTGCTTTTATTTTTTAACTTTGCGATTTAGTATTCAAAAAATCTGAAAATTATTAATATTAGGTTGGGCATACAGTTCGTAATAATGAATTTGTTCGTGGACCAGCCCTCACACTATTAGATAACGCATGTATGTTTGTCGATTTTTAAAAATTATATTTAGAATTATTTTCTCAATTTATTCAACCTTTTTAGATACTTCGTGGCATGAGAAATATGGATTTGACCCTGATCTAATATTAAACTTAGAAGATCACCTTCAAATGATTGGAAAAACCGAATCTATATCATCTCAAACAATAGACTTCATAACTAGAAACGATCATTTTGGAGAGTTTTCTCATGAAGTTTTTACATACCATGTAAAACTTTTGAAAGAATCTATTGCTCCTATTATGGGAATTTCACTTGAAGAATATGACCGCTTGGTAGAAGAAAGTGAAAATGAAATAAAAAAACGAAGTGGCGAAAATTTTTTTACACACAAAAAAGTACTTGCAAGAAAGAAAGATATGGGCATTCTTAAGGATGCTTAAAATTGCACATATTGCATTATAAATAGACATTGCCCTGGTTAACATAACCACCCTCTTATTATAACTCAAAAACAGCTTAAAAATTACATTAACTACAAATATTTAGCACTATAAAAATCTGTTCTAGCTTTAACTTTACCCTATTTTAATATTAATTCTAATTTTAATTTTAAAATTTGAGTAAAAATTAATAATAAATTATGGGTGGTTAAAATTTTTAATTTTAAGCCGGGGTTAAATTAAATTAGTTAAATTTTTTATAAATAATAAATTTTTAAAAATTTTTATATTTGCTACATAAGGCTATGCAATCTTAACAAATGAGTTAACATAACCCGGCCGGGCAGATTCTACAACTTTTTAAAAACTTTTTGTCTATATTTACTATCTGGGTGGATTTTTTTAAAAATGTCTATAAAAAATTCAGTAATATCAATTACAGTAACAAAATGTACAGAAATTCATAATATTAACAAAAAATAATCGTCATTAAATTGGGCGATACTTATCTATGATATTGAATATTGTGATCAAGATGATAACGTTCATTCCTGATCAGACGTCCGCTGATATGGGAGATACTGATGGAATGAACATGCTTGGAGTTTTTTATTTAAAGGAATTAAAGTTGAAAAGGATAAGCATAAGGCATACATTTTTTATCAAAAATCAGAAGAGATGGATACTCTATTGGAGCATTTGGCGTTGGATATTGTTATGAGAATGAAATTGGAGTTGAAAAGTATGAACATAAGGCATTCATTTATTATCAAAAATCGGCAGAGATGGGAAACGCTATCAGAACAAATAATGTTGGACATTGTTATGAAAATGGAATTGGAGTTGAAAAGTACGAACATAAAGCATTCAATTATTATCAAAAAATCTATTATTACAATGGAATTGGAGTTGAACATAAGGCATTCATTTATTATCAAAAATTAGCCGATATGGGAAATGATACTGGAATATTCCAAGTTGGATATTGTTACGAAGTGGAATTGGTGTTGAAAAAATGAACATAAGGCACTCATTTATTATTAAATAAATTAAATATCACGAGTTTGTATAGTTTATCATAAATATAATATTTTGTAAAAACATTATTTAAATTTTTTTATTATTATTTAAACCTCAATACATACCGTATCAAGCTCCCTTAGTATATATCCAAGTACCTTGTTTAATTTATAATATCATAATCAGCCCATTCAAAGAATCCGCATTGACTATTTTGATCATTAGGACAGTAATAATAATACTTCCCATAATTTCTGCTTTGACTTTTAACCATATTTCTAGCAGCAAGAAGATCGCAATAAATATCATCAATATCTTCATTATTATCAACATCATTAGTGCCGTAGATGTTGTTTATAAATATCACCAATAACTTCATTATCATTGAATATTATTAATATCATACAGTAGACGCTGTTATTATTAGCTTTATAAATATCATTAGTATATTCATCATTATTGATGCTATTATTGGTACAGTCATCCTCCTCTACGGTCACCTACTATGTAGTCACACTCTCTTTATAAGCACCATTTTTTGAAAAATTATTGGCAATTTATTTATTAAAAAAGCATAATCACATTACTATAGATGCTATTATTAACATTTTTGTGAATTTCTTCGCGTATTTTTGATCTAATATTTTAAAAATAATATCTTGTCTAAAATACCTATGACTATATTTTATAGTGATGATAGTGATACAGTGTTGCAAAGCAAATAGTAATTGATAAATTAAGACCACCAACTATTGAAAATTCTAAATATGTTATGATAATTTAATGAAACAATGTTGAGAAAGACCCGAAAAAACGTCCATTTGTAGATGAAGTTATAAAAGCATTTACAGAATGGCTGAGCGATGAATAGATCTTATCAGAATTCTCCGAATTCGAAGAAAGATTTATACAGCTAATAAACCGGATTATTGACTTTAATGAAGCTAATGAAGATAAATTAAATATAGATGGCTTAATAAATAAATAAATAAATATAATATCTAGATCATCAAGAGAAAGGTCATTAAACCTGTTTAAGAGTCTCTTACAAAGAATTCGGTTAAAAGTTTTACAAACATATTGAAGTAAATAACGATGGGTTTTATCATACTGTAAAAATTTCCTTTCATTACTTTAAATATTTCTCTGTTTGTTATCTAGATTGTTATAATTATTCTAGGTTACGGGGTTTAATTCTGATTTTGTTAAATATTAGCTAGAGAATTACTAAGCATAAAATTTTATGATTGTTTGTGACGAAACCCGTGTAGATCATGGGAAAACAGTTCAAATAGTAGCAATAACTGCATATATAAAGGGGCACTGTATAGATAGATAGAATCGAAGATGGCAAGGTGAGAGTTGCAAATAATAGCGAAAAATCTCAGTAAAAGAGAGAAATTACCGTACAGAGTAGGGAGGAATCACTTAATGATCTTAATGTATGCAGTAAATACCTTTCGTTTCGGTTCATATCCATTCAAGTATTCTCTTAAAACAGACTATAGTATTCTCCTAGCTTTATTAATTGGATATATTGTAAATAAATATAGACTTATATCTTATAAAATCCATTATTCTACAAAAAATAGGTTAGTTTTTTTTTTTTTTTTTTTTTTTTATATATAAAGTCATTACTACGGGGATGTTGTCCTCATAACCGTTGATTTATGCTCAACAGGTTCAAACCGCATTTATAAATCAGTTTCCATTTAAATTAGTTGCGAGTTTTAATTCTCAATCTTTCCAAAGTTGTTATTAATAATGGTATGTAATATTTTATGTTTATTACATGATACATTATCTATAACTTTCATGCGATTAATAATATCTGAAACATTGACATAACTCGTATAAATTAAATTTATTTGAAAGCAATTTTTACAATATCGGCTGTAAAGTAGCTGTAAAGTACCGTAAACTGCCCTATACAAGACCCCCCCAGATATCAGACCCGGGTGTGAATCTCAAAATCTACAATAACCAAATGCGGTTTTTTTAAAATATCTAGGCTGTCCACTATGAATGAAAAATATGCATGCTTTTTAAATTTTTCCTTCTAATGGTACAAACTCTCCACCATGTACTAGACCCGGGTCTTGTATTAGGTTTTAATATTGTAAGGTGTAAGAGACCCGGGTCTTTTATACGGCAGTTTATGGTACTAATTTTGTCAGGTTAGTTAACCCGGGATTAAGATTCAAATCCAAAGTATAACGATAAATTATATATAGTATTATTGATCTGCCAACAAATAAGAGTCGATTTAAAGCACATCCTCACTATATATAATATTAAAAATTCTGATTTGTAACTAAACACCAATAAACACTATAACCGAAAATACTTTCATATCTGATATTTGTCTTCTAATACAGTAATAAATATAAAAAAATAACATGCATTATATTCATTATATCGAGACTACGTAGTGATACGAAATCTATTAATAGAAAGTTGGTCAAATTGCAACTAATCGATTTATATTAAAACTTTTTTGAAGCAACAAATAGTTGAATGATTACCTACTTATGAAAGAATTTTTTAACCAATTAAATTAATTAGTTGCATACGAATTAATCGTGTTCATAAACTTAGCCAATCAAATTAATTAAAAACATGTGACAAATTTACAAAAGTCGACTAGCCGATTAGAAATTTTTGTCGATTAACTGATACAACCAATATCATTAGAGTAACGGTATATTATTATATTAATCATAAATTAGATTTTCATTGAGTTAAACTATTTCAATGGTCTATACATATTTTAAAACTGGGTTGACTATATTTTATATTCTGGTAAGGCTTGCAAATTCGTTGATTTGTGAAATTAAAATTATAATTTATGTACATCTCGATCGACTGTTAATGAAAATTACATACGAAATGGTTACAGTACGTGCTCTAAAGACAAACCTCATCTAAAAACTTTTGGTCATTACTGTTTCTTTCTTGAAACAGCGGAAATAAGAAGTAAATTATTTTAGGACCTTCAAATAGCTGGAGATCTGCCGGATATTTCTCCGTAGTGGGAAAGATCACGCTACTTTACAGCTGTTTTCATAAATTCCGGAACAAACCAAAAATTTGCTCGTTTCTTGAAATCTTTTCAGTTTCGTCCTAACTCTTCGGAATCACACCATTGCCTTCGGAACTCAGTTTGGAGATAGCGATGTAATTTTCCGAAGAGTTAGGTGACCTTTGGGACGAAACCACGGAAAACGAACAAAATTTTTAGCTTGTATCAGAATTTGAGAACAGCTGTAATCAGTAAAAAAAAAAAAAAAAACGACCGAAAAATAACAAGCGTTACTGGAAATTTTGTTTTCCGACTAATTAAACCGTGGAATAATGCTATCATTTTTATGATGCTTTTTTTGGAGGTCGGCTAAAGTGGAGTGAATTGTGAAAATTTATCTAATTTAACGTTTATTAATTAAACATTAATGTTAGAGCTATTTGAAGTCATATTTGAGAGTGTTTATAGATAAAATTGCTTCTCCGACATTTTTTATTAATGCACCAAAGTAGGTCTAGACCTTTTTTTCGCTTGTTTTGTTTCGTCGGTTAGTCAAAATTTTACAGTTTGATTGGTCGATCGTCTGTCGATCATCAAAAATTCACTCCGCTTTAGCCTACCTCTTTTTTGGCAAGACCGAAATGCGAGACAGGCTAGATTAATTGATTAAATCGTCCATATATGCTTAAGGGTGAGTGTAGATCATTTCTAATAGTAATCACGTTGTGCGACATAGATCACCTAAGTTTTTTATCAATATAACAAAAAGTGGATTTTTT